ATAAGCATTAGATCCAAACTCAAGAATAACAAAACAATTCCTATTAGATTTGAACAACAGACATTCAATGAGACAAACATTAATGACAAAGGAGTAACTATAACACCCTGGTGCTGAAAATAAGAAAGTACAGGCTCAATTGAAAACTTGACAATAGGTAAAGAATCAAAGTTAACACTCTCAAGTGGGGCAGAATCCAGAACAATGTCAACAATCTCAGATTGAGAATAATTTGTAACAAAGTCATGATGACTTGGACAAGTAGACATAGAGTCACTATTAGATTCTACAATAAATGGCTCGATTGGCTTAATATCTTGCATAGGTGTAGACTCAACAGATTTTGCCACAATTTTCAAGACCAATGATGGTTCAAGAATTGACACAAACAAAGACTTACACACACTTTCTTTCGAAATGGACTCTTGTAGGTGCAAAGGAGGACGACTCTGATATGACGAAACCAAATGAGGGAGTTGGAAGTCCATATGAGTAACATTTTTCTCTTTATCTGACACTAAAATATCTAAATTCTGTGTCACATTCAGATTAGGAAAGCATGCAGAAACAACATGGACATCGTTTAAGTAATCATGATATTCATATGTGATGAAATTAAAATTAGAAGATGTCCTATCAGTAGGCTGTGATTGAGAACTCATCAAGGTATAATTAGATTTTTTATAAAATCTCTCAACCTTTAGAGCATATTGATAGGCTGCAACTAACGTATTAAAAGTGTATTGCTTAACCTCCCTACTAATTTTTTGTCTCAACCCAAAAATAAACTGATTAATTGTCCAAGGTTCTTCAAGTACATGAGATAATCAAATTGGGCAAAGCAATCAGAGACACTGGAAGAATGTTGTCTAAGATTGAGCCATTGGTCATAAACTTGATCCATGTAGGAAGTAGGCAAATACTTCTCTTTCAATTTATATCTCATTTCAACACAAGTGCTAGGTGATTCTCCTAAGGGGTTTAGGCTTCTTTGGATTGTTTGTCAATACTTCTTGGCCGAATCCTCCAACATCAATTTAGCAAAACGGATGCAATGGGAATCCGACATGCCATGCCAATCAAAATATTCTTCTAAATTAGCTAACCAATCCAAGAATTGATTGAGATCTAAAGTGCCACTAAATATGGAAGGATCTTTGACTAGTTTGGTCATATGAGTTGACTCTATGTAAACATCCTTAGACTTCCTATGATGATGACCTTGACGAGAGACTCTTGATAGATGAGAATGGTATAAGAACAAATTCAAGAATGTAATTAACAATTTCAAGAAAGTTTAAATAGAGGAAAATATGTTTTGGATCCTTTGTAAATTCTCTAATTTTTCAATGAATAAAAATATTAATCTCAAATTCTATTGGAGTATGCATACCATAATCAAGAGGAAATTCTAAATTTTTTTTGGGATGATTCTGCAATTTTATGGGTCTGTTGGTGATGTTTCTGCAATTCTGGAATTTCTAGGGGAAAAATTCTGCAATTTCTGCAACTTCTGGGGTAATATTTCAGTAATTCTGAAACTTCTGGGGGAAGATTCTGTAAATTTTGGAATTTCTGGTGGTGATTCTGTAATTTCTAAAACTTTTTGGGTTGTTTCTATAATTTTTAAAACAGCTGGGATGTTGCTGTAATTTTCTGAATATGTAGGGATGGTGAACAGTGCACGAATAGCGATTTGACTAACAAATTTTTTTTTTTTTTTTTTTGTGATTTGTATGAATCGAAGTTGAGCTCTGATACAAAATTGATGTAAATCGTAATAGTTCTGATACCAAATTGATGTAAATCGTATTAGGGAAGAATTAGGGATGAGAAGGGAAGAAGAAAGGGATGAGAAAAGAAAAAGAAGGGGATGAGAATAGAGAGAGAATTTTAGGAAGAAGATTCAATATCAATAATCAATAATCAAAGTCTATCAAAACAAATACCATATTTCCTACATATATAGGGAGAGCACAACTCCTAAAAGAACTCTAAAAGAAATAAATAGTCATAATGACAACTAAACTCTTAAAAGTTAAAAGAAAATACTTAAAAGATAAACACTAAATTACTCTCATAATTAATCTAAAATATTTATCCAATTTCTATACGATCCCCATCAGGTGTTTCAACAAGTGGAATTGCTTCTTCCTCAGCATTAGCTCCAGATCTTATCTTTCCACTTCCATCGCATATTTCGGGGCAATTAGATGATGTAATACGACCAGATTTATATTGTTACAGATGGAGATTTTGCATTTATTCGGATCTATGGATGGTTTCGTTCATTCTAAATAAAGCATTATGTCATCTTCGTTTTGCTCTCTTAGGGTACTTCTACTTTGAAGACTCTCCGGAGGAGAGTTTTTCTCACCGGAGGAGAATGATGGGGATCGTATAGGAATTGGATAAATATTTTAGATTAATTATGAGAGTAATTTAGTGTTTATCTTTTAAGTATTTTCTTTTAACTTTTAAGAGTTTAGTTGTCATTATGATTATTTATTTCTTTTAAAGTTCTTTTAGGAGTTGTGCTCTCCCTATATATATAGGGAATATGATATTTGTTTTGATAGACTTTGATTATTGATTATTGATATTGAATCTTCTTCCTAAAATTCTCTCTCTATTCTCATCCCCTTCTTCTTCTTTTCTCATCCCTTTCTTCTTCCCTAATACGATTTACATCAATTTGGTATCAGAGTTATTACCATCTACATCAATAAGATCCTGGATGCCATTGATTGCAATAGAGTGGGGAGGGAAATGTCCCTCTTTAATCCTTATGAAATGATGAATATTCTTTCTGACTGGATTATTATGTTCTTTCTCACAGATTGCCTATTTTTATTCACGATTATAGATTTTTTTTATAACCTTGCACAAGGTCATAGTAGGTATTTTGCTATAACCAATAAAGGCTTACCTTCTATCCTCATGAAATGATGATCATTCTTTCTCAATGGATCATTTCCGGTTTTGCGCATTTCCTCATGTCGACTGCGTGCAAAGGCAAAAGGCTTCTCACTGTAATCACCGCTCTGAGTACAAGAAAAAGTAGAACCTATTATGCTTCAGTTTTTATTGCACTGAGAAACAAAACTGTTATATTTCTAATACCCAATCATACTTAGCTTTATACTATTGTTGCCAAAATGATGAGGTATCGCTTAATAATGTCATGCAGGCTTTATTTATTTAAGAGAAGTACCGCAATTAGGTAATCAATATGCTCGTGTTCATACATTGTATTCCTCATATAGATTGTCGATCTGTGGTTGTACTTCCTCATTTAAATGCTTCTTTAGTTCTTCCACTAGTGTCTGTAGAAAAACAGAAATAGTTGGTAATATGTTGAAATCTTAGAGTTGGAATTAAGGACTAGGGCACTCTTACTTTAAAAACGAAATCGGGGGATACATTGTGCTCTGTGAGGTTTTGCAGTTTTCCATGGATTGTATATAACCTGTGGAGACAAATCAATGATTACATGTTAAATTTTGGGATGAAACAGCCTGAAATGGGAGTTCGATGACATTTCAGAAATATTGTCAAAAGCTAGAAAGATTTAAATTTTTATTTTCTGAAGAATTTGATTAGGAGCAACTTACTGTTTTGGACTTTGCTCTTCTACTATATTTTTCGCAATGTTGGCAATATCATCTTCCCACCCTGTCATAATCTCTTGATCTTCCTTCAAAGAAGGACTGCATGCACATTATTGCTTACAATATGTAGAAGACAGATGAGTGGAAATGGAAATGTGAAAGTAATGGGAATAAATTGATTCTGAAGTGATACAATGAGGGTAAAAACATATTAATTCGAAAGGCTGCAAATCTGTAATTACATAAAGCTGAATATTACTTAAATTGCCAGGTTGCCTCAAATGATCTTATAGCTTGTCGCAGGTTATTCATGGAGTTGTTAGCAATTTTCATAGCAAGTTGGTGTGGCAAATTTATGCCTTCTTGTTTTGCTATGAAGTTCAAAACGTCAACAATCTGAGAAAGAAGGGAGGAGAACTTTCAGTTAATCTAAAAATCAATTTTGGTGCAACACTTAGTTGGAAATAAGAGGATGGTAATGTACCTCGCCGTTAGATGGTGGAAGGAGTTGCACAAAAGTGCAAGACTTGATTGGCTGAAGCTTGTAGACATCAGTGCAGCAAAAGAGGAGCTTATTACACCCTCTATACCTCTCTAATAGCCATCTGATATATAGTAGGGCATCTGTAGATAATTTGTCTGCCTCATACAGAACAATTGCTGCGGAAGCGCAAAGTGACAAACAATCATTTATGTTGCAGTCCAGGATGTTAATTGATTTTGAAGGCAAATATAGACAATACCTCGACAGTTATCAGGGTTGCACTGCAAAACTTTATCTGATACCATGTTATTTGTCTTGTTGATCAGTTCAACTATGACATACTTCTCATACCCTTTTAGTTCGGAGAGATTGACTTCTACATGTTTAGATGATTCTTTCAAGTTTACATGGATGCTGCTCACTGCTTCTCCCTAGGATGAAAGTATCAGAAGGTCAAACTCATTGATGCAAATATATTTTTACTTCAGAAGCTTAATGATGACTTCATGAGGGTTGCTTAAGCATTCTAATGTAAGAATACAAAATTTTATTAGATGGATGTGAATGACTGATAGTTTACCAATACATTATGCACTTCTCTTCTTGCCTTGTGATTGTTTGTGCTGTATGGATCCTTGGAAACTTGAAACTTGATTTAGAGGAACTAGTGTAACTGTTCCAAAACGGATGGAGAGCAGGTTCGAGTAGGTATTTCGTATTGTCTAAAACACTTGGGAAGAACATTGACACTGTGACTTCATTTCTTGTTATAGAGATCTTGTTGAGGGAAGAAAAGCTCAGAACACAACAAAAGGCTCTAGAGGAGTAGCAACAGACAATAAAGGTGCTGGACTCACCTAGAGAACATGAGAGAGGTTTTCAGAACACTGAAGAGAAGGTTTTACAAATCTTTAGATCACTGTAGCAGTACAGTTTGAAGTCAGAGACGCATTTACTCATTGAAGAAGGTAATTCTAAACCTAATCATCATTTTCCCATGATGGCGTCCTGTTCTTCAGCCTAAGCAAACTTCAATAGATTAGGTGCCTTTCAATCTCAATCCTCAACCTAATGTCATTTCAAAGCTTCCATTTCTTGTGTGTCAAATATAGAACTAATTGCATGCTCTGTTAAAACAGCTATGTACTTTAATTAAAGTACTAGGGGATGTTTGATGTAAAGGCAAAATGAAAGAACTTTACCTTCAAGATGAATTCTCTGCACTCCTCCCTTGCCTGTAAAACATCAATCAGACACAAGCAACATAAACTAACCCAAAAAAGTGACAACAGGGGTTTTCAGACAAATATTTTAGTTGAATTTTCTATATCTAATGCAATGATAACAGAAATCTCATATATTGTGATAGAGTAAATTGATATGCATTTAATTGAGTCATCATTCATACTACATAAAGGTTGATGATCTGACCAACTGTTAATTCGACACCCCAATCACCTCAGATTAACTGTCTTCTCCTTTCAAAACTCTTCTACTCCTACAGTAAGGTGAATCACAGATTGTATTTACATGAGATTTGTATCTTTTACCTCTATATTGTCTGATCCAAATACTTCGCGAAGCATAGCCCAAATCATGGTTCTCTTTCCCACCCCAGCGGGTCCTCCAAATATGAAATTGCCACAATCTTCTGCTTTTGCCTATAAAATTGTTCAAGCTAGTTTTCAATTTTACACTCTTCAATGTTCTTGATTTAGGCTATAAATTTCAAGTTAGACGATTGAAGTCATGTGATCTTACCCGAGCCTGGAGCTCAAGTGCTTTATCACGGTGACAGAGAAAATCTTTTAGGGCTTCAGGCCGATATTTGTCTGCCCAAACAAACTGTCTTCCATTCTCAGTTGGTGATGTTTTTCTAGGTGGTGGTGATGGTCGTGAAGGCGGTGGTGGTGATGGTGATGTTTTTGGTGGTAGTGGTGGCAATGTTGCAGTTTGTGAAACTGCTGGTAGTGTTGGTGATGGTGTTTCTGTTTCTCTCTCCCTCAAAGGCTTCCTTACATTTGACATAGCAGTAGTATTGCTTTCCTTGGCACCACTGCTCACATCTTTCTTTTCCAAATACATATCTGTTGCCACTCTGGGGCAACTTCTAGCTCTCGCAGTCATGGTGTCTTGAGAGCATTTACTAATCCCATCAGAACTTGCACTGGTGAAGTGTTTTTCTTCCTTGGTCTTAGAGATAAAGAAAGAACTACCCCATTCTTGCATCTTAACAATGACACTTGTTCTAGAGCTTGAAGTGACTGCATTGCTTTCTCTCCCCGGACTAGACACCGATAGTCTTTGTTGATTGAGAACAAGGGATGAATCTGTGAGTCCCTTGTAATAAGGACTCCTTGGATATGATGTCTTGTTATCCAAAATTTCATTTCTTCTATTAAATTCCTCAAGACTCTCTTTGGTTAAATCTGACTTTTTTGATGAGGAAACTGTCTTTTTTGTTATGTAGGTACCAACTCTCTTCGGCCAAACAGTTATCAGCGAGCCGATTGAATGCGAAGAGAGGTTTGAACTCGGGATGTCGCCGGACTCGGAGTGAGACGAAGAGAGAGAGGGACTTGGCATCTTGAAGTTTTTTCTATGAGAAGAAACAGAAAATTTGAGGGAGTGTGGTGGTTGTGATGTGATGAAGAGGAAATGCCTTTTTTTTTTTTTTTTTTTTTTTGGGGGGGGGGGGGTTAATTACACTTTTACCCCTAAATTATTGTCTTCATCTCACGTTGCCCTTTGAACTTTTAAATTTCTCACATTGCTCCCTCAACTACTTCAATTGCTTTCATTTTGCCCAAAAAGCAAAATTCTTTATATTTTGAATGAAAAAGGTCAACGTGCCGTGGTAAAATTAAACAAAATCACATAGTGTGAGACAAAGTGAAACAATTTTCCGTCATTTCTCACGGATATTAAACTAATAATTATAATTAAAAGTGATAGTCAAGAGGGCAAAGTGGCACAAGTCTTGTAGTTTCAAAGGACAAAGTGTAATTAACCCGTGTTTTTTTTTGGGAGGAAACTCCAGCTCTGGCGGGTAAAGTTATGGGGAGAAACGTTAATGGCGTCAGTTACAATGGCTTGTTCACACTGCCGAGTGATCAAAAGACTAACATGGTGAATACAATGTTTGGAGACTAGAAGTCATGACCAGGACCTATTTACTTGAATAATAACTTTGTTCCATATGATGCCAAAATGTTGGCTGGCTTAGATGGCATTGTATTTTTAATTGGACCTACTCATCCAAGGGTGGGTTTTTATTCATTTGGGATGCAAAGTATTTTTCGCCGAAAATAATAGACATAACTAATGATACTCAAAAATGGCATTAGCTATAAATTAAAGGCTATTTAAGTAACAGGTTCATAAAAGAGCCAACGGACGAGATCTATATCCCGACCTTTGAGCTGCACATCCACCTTGAGAAAAGAAGCCAATGTTCACATACGTCCTCAATTTAAGGAATTCAGGTCGACTAAGAATGACCTCAGGTGCAAGTATTCAGGTTGTTCACGTTGCATCACAAGGTGAATCAGCCTCTCTAGCTCAAGGCAAGTGTTTGGACCGAGTTAACTAAAAGAGCAAAAGGTCGTCTCAAAGAAGAACGATCTCATAGCAAACTCTTCTAGAGATATGGAGGATCACAACGCATCCCAACTTGAAGACAGGTCATAAAGTCACATCAACATGTTCTAGATTACATCCTCTAAAAGCCTAATATTCTCTTAACAAAATCCTAACAAATTTGAGGACCATGTGATGATAACATAGGGACCACCCCCCACTTGTGGGTATAAATACAAAGGTCTTCTCCATATAAAGACATCTAATGAATTGTAACCCCATCTTCTTATCCAAGCAATATACAGTTTCCCAATGAGTAAGAGACTCCATTAGAATAGATTAATCAATCTTTTCAGTTAATAAACCACTATAATCTGTATGTTCTTTTCTTTCCTAGCTCGTACCATGGTTTAAGTAGAGCTACTAGGCTCCAGCTTGGATTATCTTCTTCTCCACTAATCACTTGCACATTGCTGTTCGTAAGCCTTGATCTTCAACTTAAGCATCGCCCTCACGTTTCGAGTTCATACATCATCAATACCAAAAGTTGTGCGTTTTTTTGGTTAGGGAGGGTGTTAGCTTGTTTAGCTAGTAATAAAGTCTCTTGGATAGTCATTTAAGTATACAATATCAAAAAATATTTTTTCTGGTCCTACTATAAAATACTAACTTTTAATGTTAGCTAACTTTTGAGGTTAAGTTTGCATATTTTTGGAGATGTAGTTATACTTTCAAAATGTTGTAACTTTGACTCAAAAAAAAAAAGTGTAATTAGACCTCTTTTTTTTTTTTTTAATTCACACCTAACTACATACTCTAATAGAGTAAGGGTCAAGTGGAGACTTATAGACACACTCACACACCCGAAGCTACCCGATATGGGATAGCCCAATCCCATACCTCTCCGGTGTAATTAGTAATTAGACCTTAAAAGTTGTATTTTTAAGATCTATCATAAATTTTCTTTTGCTATAAATTACAACTTAACCCCAAATATTGTATTTTGAACCAAAAAAGTAGCTCGATGTGGGAGTCGTGTAGCCTAGAATATTAAGATGCATGTAGATCATGTTTTTGTTTTTATCTTTTGTAGAATCATGGTTTCAACATTAGTTTATGACGCCGACTTTAGTAGATTAATGCCAAATGGAATTAGAGAATACCAAGTTCACACATATGCGTTTGGATCAAACTCAAAATCAGAGATACCCAACATATAATAACACTATCATAAAAAATGTGAGTTCAAAATTTTAAAATTTTGGTTCTTACGTGTGACTCACCTATCCGTCACTGGAAACACTATTTCCCGTTCGACTTGCCAGTGTTAAATATGTCGACAGCATTCATCCTAAGTCAGATCGAATTCTCCATGAGATTCATAGTTGCATTACTTAAAGTTTTTCCTTGTTCGTAGACAAAATCGGATTCAAAATTGTCTTTCATTTCAAGGCCTAACTGGTATGCATATATTTCATATTCGTCCGGAATTTGCTCCCAGTGCAACAAAAAAAAAAAAGAAGCAAGATAAAAGAGAGTAGCAAATCGCTTTCATGAGTTGCATTGAGCATCTCATGGATAAGGCCATTTTATAGATACACATCACGAAATATTAAATCCAAAAATTCATTACATAATCTAAAGAGACCCGAAGTAATCGAACATATAATCAAATACCATGACAGTGCTTGGTGTCTGGAGCACTCAACGTCAATCTCTTGTTCCAGATAGACAATGCCTCCAATAATAAACCATGAAGCTGCTGAACAAAACAAAAAAAAAACAATACCACCGAGGGGTGTGGTTCAGTGAGATATCGATTAAATCTCACTCTAAAATTGAAGGTTCGAGTCTTGGAGCCAGAGTTCGGTGATTGACTACTATGCTAGACTAACTAAGTTCGTTCCGAGAGGTGTAACGTACGCGATCAGAAGTCTCGTGATCCTACCAGTGAAAGTTTATCAGTGTGATATTTGGGTGCTCTTTTTTACCCCCACCTTTTTTCAAGAGCCAAAAAAAAAAAAATAATGTTTAAGATGCAAATAAAATAATCAAACAAAACAAAATAGTGAACCTGGACACAATTTCTGTGGACAAGGATTTTGGTGAGATTAGTAGAATAAATCAGATATGAAAAAAGTTCTTGAATCCAACGTAACAAATAATAAAAGAATAACCATACAATAAAGAAACAAATTAAACATCGATTCACGTGTGACAATCCACCAATTATAAAAAAAAAATGAATGGTTAATTGTACTGGATGTCCTCAAAATATAGAGTTTGTCTCATTTTGATTCTCAATATTTCAATTGCATCATTTTCATCGTTGAATTATTAAATATGTTTCTATATAGTTCTTTTAGCAGACAACATCTAAATTACTAACAGTTTTTTATCATAAACTTATCACGTGATACTTAAGTATGCACAATAAATAATTTAAGTAGCTCTTGATCACCTCCACGTAAGGAAGTGGGGTCCATTTTATACATTTTGTAGTTTTTTTCTATTGAATGGTTACACCATGGGGCACTGCTGCCCACGTGGTGTAATCCGTTGCCCACAATATTTACTCCCACAACGAGATCATAATTAGATGTTAGAAAACACAATGCAGCTCTCACCTAACATGCTTTTGTAGAATAACCACAAATTGTGTGAATGCAACCAAGTAACTGTTTATATCCCACTTTGTTCTTCAAAAGTAGGGCATCAACTGGCCAAAGAAGGTGATAGTCCTGTAGATTCGTTCTCAAGGTTCAATCCTTCACCATAAAACGGGTGTGTTCGAACTCTGACTGTTTTTTATGCGACATGGTCGGAGTACTCATCGGTAGTGAGGAAACTAGCTGCAAAATAGACCACGAATACAATTATGTTCACAAAGATAATAAGTAGAACAAAACAAGGATAAAAAGAAAGAGTGAATGAATTAATGAAATGTCAAGGAGAAAAAATGAAGTGTAGACAGCATATGGTATATACGCGTAGGGAACATAAAAATAGAATAAGTATAGCAATTGAAGTGGCCCTATGGGTCGATGTCATGAATACACTTAAGCATTTATGCAAAAAAAAAAAAAATAATCGCATAAGCCATTTTTTGATAGAAAATCACAAGTTTGACTTTATAATGTCATTAGACTACCTTTGCAAATAGAAAAGTAAGCAACTAATTGTCAAATATGGCAAGTAATGGAAACTACCACATACATAAACACAAGAAATTGGGATTTTTTAGTTGGCTGTAACATACAATGGACATCCAACGTTGTAGAGAAGGTTCAGCCCAAAACCCTACTGATAAAATACAATCATAACTGTAACGCAAATCTCGAATTTATATAGTCATGTGCAATCATGTGCATTGGTCACTTGAACTTTATTCCTCTTGAACTCTTAAAGTATGACTAAATACTAGTATGTTTTGGGGGAGAGAGAATTGGTCGAGTGAGAGTAATGGGTCAAAGACTCAAATCAAATCACAAATGCAGCAGCCATCAGACTACGGAGATCATGAGTTGCCAATGGGCAGAGCCTCGGTAACAAACTTCGCTGCTGTGGCAAAAAGCAATTCATATATGCAGTAATAAACATACTCAGTTTTAGGCCCCACCAATGCCAACCCAAACCAACCTACCTTTACATGCAAAATCCCATGCTCTCTCTCTCTCTCTCTCTCTCTCTCTCCATTAACGCTTAATGGAGTGGATGAGAGAGCGGGAAGTGGAGGTGTGTATCAAGGTGGGAATGGGAGGCACGTTGACAGTGGAGTTTTGAATTTCTCTGGGGACATGAAAGGGAAGGCTGGCTAGGATATGAAACACTTTACTATTGAGAGGCAATGGAGAGAGAACTTAAATCACAAGTACAAGGCTTTGAGAAATTTGCTTCCCAACCCCACCAAGGTCTCCCTCTCTGTCTCTCTCTCTCTCTCTCTCTGCGTGTTATAAACGATATAGAAAGAAACAATTTCTACTAACAACTCTTTAACTTGCATTTTGATGAAACTATACTGCTTGATTTGCCTTTTTTCTTGTTAGCAATTTCCACATTCCACTCTGCTGTCTATTCCAATTTTCTTTTCTGCTTCTATAGATTACCTCACAATTCGATTAAATTAACTGCCTCAACATGCATAAGCTTTCATCAGCGAATTTTCCTTGTTTGACATTTTCAAATTTTTTGTTTGGGGGAGCATACCAAGAATGATAGAGCATCAATAGTGGGAGATGCTATAGAATATATCAAAGAGCTTCTTAGAACAGCTAATGAACTTAAGATTCTGGTGGACAAGCGACGTGCGACAGAGAGGATCAAGAGGCACAAAACAGAAGATGATGCAGGGGATGGAAATAGTATTTGTTGAAGATATAGAAGCAGCCTAGTTTATTAGGGTTTTATTAGTTTTCCTTTTTACCTTTTTTGTCCTTATGGCAACTCTCATTGACTATATATACGGGGGCTCTACACTTAGTTTGTATCCCTTTTCATTCACAACTATCTCAAGTTGGTATCAGAGCCAAACTTAAAACACTAACCCTAACCCTAACTTCCAGCAGCCACATCTCCCCCAAGCAGAGAAATCACCGACCAGCCACCGACCTGCATAAAGCACCGAGCACCGATTAGCAGTCAGTCCAACCTGATCACTGATTAGCATACCACAAACCAACAACATCAACATCACCGACCAGCCACCGACCACCATAAAGCACCGAGCACCGACAACACAATCAGTCCAACTGAAGCGAAACCCACTGTCCAACTGAACCCATTGCTCAACTGATCGTTCACCGACTGCCCATTCTACATCAAACTCCACCGACAACCGACATACATCAAACCAACCCAAAACAGCCCAGCCGAAACAACATACACCAGCCGAAACAACATATACCAGCCGAAACAACATACATCCCACAGACATATTAAAACCAATAAACCCAACCCACTGTTGTATCTAGGATTTTTTATGAGGGGTTGTTGATTTTCTCTTGATGCAGTAGATCACTTATTTATATATTTTGGATTTCTGGGCACCGTGACCTGATTATTTGAGAGTTTTTTGGACCTTCTTTATTTGTCGTTATTGTTCGACTGAAGGTATATTGTTCTCCTTTATTTTATTCCTCTATTTATCTTAGAGTTGTTTTTCTGTCACGGGTGCCCTAATATTGTTGTTGATATGACTACTACTGAGGGACTTGAGAACCCTACTGTTTGACTTCTACCTTTTTGTGCAATCGTACGCCGAGTCGTGTTCTTCAGCATAAGCCTCCCTTACAGGTTTTATTTCCTGAGCAGACACTTTTTTCGGTCCCTCCTCGTGTTTTTGGATGCATATGTTTTATTCAGGATCGGTCTCCTACTCGTCATAAACTTGATGATAAAGCGATTCGTTGTATCTTTGTGGGCTATTGTCATCAATCTAAGGGGTATCGGTGTTATGATCCTATAAGGCGCCGTATGTATCACAGTCTAGATGTTACCTTTCTTGAGCATCTTCCTTATTTTTCTCCCAGTCCTGTGTCTGCCCCTCCAGTTGAGGATACTCCCTTTGATTTTCCATTACCACAGGAGTCAGAGTCATTGGTCATTATCCCTACAGGGTTATCTGTTTCTCCTCCTTCAGAGTCACTCATCTCTGTCAGTACAGAGTATGTTCGTCGCCTTCGCTCTCATCACCCTACTGATGTCCCCTCTACCTCAGGCGATGCAGGTAATACTTCTCAGTTTGTTAAGCATATTGATGCACCTGTTGTTAGTACTGATGAGATTGCAGGTGTTGAGCCAGTTCATTTACCTGATGAGACATTATCAGTGGAGGAGTATGATTTAGGGCGTCATTATCTGCGGCGTGATCGTTGTCCAGTTGATCGTTATGGTTGGACCGCCAGGATTTTATATCCGATCTCGGCTTATGTTTCTTATGGTGATCTGTCTCCCACATATCGAGCTTATACTATGGCCTTATCAGATACGTCGGTTCCTCGCTCTATTTTGGAGGCTATGCGGGAGCCCCAATGGGTTCTTGCCATGGAGACAGAGATGGACGCTCTTCAGCGTAATCATACATGGGATCTTGTCTCCTTACCTTCAGGGGTGAAGCCTGTTGGCTGTCGCTGGGTTTACACCCTGAAATTTCTTGCGGATGGTACTATTGATCGTCACAAGGCTAGACTTGTGGCGAAGGGCTTTATTCAGGTACCAAGTCATGATTTTGGTGCTACATTTGCCCCTGTGGCAAAATTGACTACTGTTCGGTTGATTATTTCTTTGGCTGCGGAGTACTCTTGGCCTCTTCATCAATTAGATGTGAAGAATGCATTTCTTCATGGTGATCTGGACGAGATTATTTATATGGATGCACCACCGGGCTTTCGTGGTGAGGGGGAGTATGCTGGAAAGGTATGTCGACTGCGTAAGTCTCTTTATGGACTGAAACAGTCGCCACGAGCCTAGTTTTCTCGCTTTAGTGATGTAGTCGTACGATTGGGGTTCACCAGGTGTCATTCTGATCATACCTGCTTTATTCGACGGAATACTTCTGGACAGTGTGTCATTCTTCTGGTATATGTTGATGATATTATTATTACTGGTGATGATGTTTCTGGGACTGCGCAAGTCAAGATAGACCTTGGAAATGCTTTCGATGTGAAGGATCTTGGATTTCTACGATACTTTCTTGGGATTGAGGTTGCCCGTAGCGGCAGGGGTGTTGTTCTTTCTCAAAGAAAGTATGTTTTGGATCTTCTTTCAGACACTGGGATGTTGGGGTGCAAACCGGCATCATCACCCATGATTCCAAACCTGAAGCTTACTGCTGAAGGTGAGGAGTTGAAAGATCCGACAGTTTATCAAAGATTGGTAGGTAGACTTATCTACTTGGCCAATACTAGACCGGACATTTCATTCGCAGTCAGCTGAGTTAGTCAGTTCATGCACAAGCCATGTCAGCCTCATCTTGATGCAGTTTATCATATTCTTCGGTACCTCAAGTCTTGTCCTGGACTTGGGTTGTTTTATGTATCAGGATCTCAGACCGGTTCTCTAGCCTGTTATTCAGATTCAGATTATGGGGGAGCATGTGATGGTCGATCTACTACGGGCTTCTGTGCTTTTCGAGGGACTCATCTTATCTCTTGGAAGAGCAAGAAGCAGACAGTTGTCTCCCGCTCGTTAGCAGAGGTAGAGTATCGGGCACAGGCACTTGGCACGTGTGAGATTATTTGGCTACGATCGATTCTTGGCGAGTTGGGTTTTTCAGTGACCTCTCCTTCCACATTATATTGTGATAATCGATCTGCTATTCAGCTCGCTTCTGATTCTGTACTACATGAGAGGACGAAGCATATAGAGATTGATGTTCACTTTCTTCGGGAGAAGGTTAACAGTGGTATTGTCACTCCATCATTTGTGGGGACCAGTGATCAGGTTGCGGATGTTTTTACAAACCTGTCACTCTATCTATTCTTCGGGACTCCGTTGTCAAGCTTGGCTTAGTTGACATTTTTTGCGCCTAACTTGAGGGGAGTGTTGGAGATATAGAAGCAGCCTAGTTTATTAGGGTTTTATTAGTTTTCTTGTTTACCTTTTTTGTCCTTATGGTAACTCTCATTGACTATATATACGGGGGTTCTACACTTAGTTTGCATCCCTTTTCATTCACAACTATCTCAAGTGTATTAGCATGACACCTCTTGGTGATTAAGACCAGGCCTACAATGGATCATCATTAAGGAGTTGATGGCTTCAGAGGAAGTCCAAGAATGCCGAGGTTGATGTCCGTATCATTGATGGTGAAGTGAGCATCACACTCGTTCAGCAGAAGAGGATCAATTGTTTGCTGTTTGTGTCAAAGGTCCTCGATGAACTTCAGCTGGATCTCCACCATCTTGCTGGTGGGCTCATTGGAAAGGTTCATAAAGATGTGAAAATCTATGGGATTGAAAAACACCTTGAGCACAAAATTAGGACTCGTGAAAAGGACCATCAAAAGTCTATTTATAAAGTCTTAGGAACGCCCTTAAAGTCATCTTCCATTGTTAATAAATTCTTAGAGCAGAGATGTTGATTAACATTAAGAAGAAAGAACAGGTTTGGGCTGAGCCACAGGCCGTGAACACAGTCATGGCCGGTCTGTGACCCAAATGACGAACACAATAAAGACTGGACCGTGGCCCGCCACCACAGGCTTAAACAGCCCCTTAACCCACCAATCCAGTCTCAGTATGAGCTCTTCATCTTCCACAGGACCCACTTCACCATTGACCACATCCCCACAACTCTCCTTCACCTCTGTAATTTCCTTCTCCGTCTTTTATCATGTCCATCCTGTGATGATTATTTAGGGTTTTCCGCTCTAGGTGAATTGGATATCTTTATTGTTTTGATTTGTTTGGTGGATTGAGGTTTTAATTTCGATGGTTTTCAGCTCTTCGTTAGATTCAAATTCAAATTCAAATTTATTTGGGCTCAAGGATGATAGTGGAAATAAAATGGAGCAACAACCAGACACAAAATTGGTTGAAGAGACTGTTGCAGTGGCGATGTCGGAGACAACTTTCCGATTCTTCGTGCTAAATGCTACAAAGACTACTGTTCGAAGCAATCCATAGTCGATTCGATAATTGAAGAAAACAATAACGTAATTGTTGATGATCAAAGCATGAAATGGATTAGACTCCTGGAGTGAAGTTCCGATGTGGACAGATCTTTTTGTTCAATCCATCGGTACTCTGATAAGTATAACCGAGTTTTTTATTTCAAGACTGCTGCTCAGGATGCCATTGACAAGGCCAATCGATTATGAAGCTCGATAAGCAAGATATGAAGAACTGATGGTGGTGGCTGGCGAATTGGTTCGTGGGATGGCACAAATAGAAGGTACTTAAGTGCTTAAAGTATGTGCTTTATTAATATGATATGATGCAGTAGTGGGTACATAAGTGTCTGACTATCATTTTCTTGTTGGTTTTATATAGTATAGTTGGTTTTATGCTTTGTTGCTTGATTGTATTTGATGTGAAATAGTCGGATTTTTATATATTGTTTAGTGGTTTTCTTAGTATTGGGTTCTCTTTATTGGCTGGCTGCCCTTCTATGCCCTGTGGTTTATACCAATAACGTTATCCAGTGGTGTGTATATGTATTTATGTATTCGTTTTTGTTGTTTTTCTGGGAAAAGGGACGCAACAAGGTAAGTTACCAAATCATTCCGCAGAAAAAAAATGGAAAAAGAAATCACCCGAGGGGATCTCCCCAAAAACGCAGAGGGAAAAATGGATTCAATTCAATCAAAAAAAAAGAATATTAGATAGCATTACGTTTTTTGATAAACTAAAACATTGCACGTACAGTGCAAAAGAAGCAGCAAGAGAAGAAACACAGAATAGTCTTTTGCCAGGAGATCAAGCAACAAAAAAAGTCTGATCTTCATGAAGTTTTGGAAGATTAATACATAGTGTCTGGGAGGGAGAAAAAGGAAATAAAAGAAGGGAAAAATTTTAATTCATCTTGCTTTTTCTTCCCTTGTCAATCACAGCACATGGCTCACCTCCATTGCCCAATAAGTGCATAGGAACCAAAGTGGCGGTCAATTTTGGTGTTCCTATGTGCCAATGTAGGTCTAAGTATATCTTTGTTGTTTGATTGGACATCCTTCTTTTTCTGTTCATCATGTACAAGGTTGATTTCAAACTCCTTTACCTCAAAACCATTCATTAAAATCCAATGATTCAGTTCATCACTAGGTGCAACAAACTCATTCAACTTTCAATGACTTAATCACGTCATATATTTTCTGGAACTCCAAAGGATGTTGGCCAGTAGTTTACCACATTCTTCCACCCATTATTAACTTCAATTTCAATAGATAATTTACCTGAAAAATTTTCTTCAGTGATCCCATACACACAACCCATGTTCATCATGTGATTCTACAATTTTGATCTAAAGGGATTGTAAAATATACTGTAGACCACACACTCGAATTGTTGAAGCAGCGCAAAACTTTACTCCTAGGAAGAAATATGCTGAATATTCTGACTTGGAACAGTCCCAGTGCCATGAAAATTTCTATTTTAACTAGGACAAACTATAGATTATCTCTATGTGGTTCAACCAACAACACTATACTTTCTAATTTTCTTAGCGTTTTTTATTCCTAAAAATTTCATGAAAATTGAAAGATCTACTTAATGCAAAGGCAATGAAGAGAGAGAAGGTAAAATTGGTTTATTTTAGAGAGAAAAAGTAAGAAATATAATACTCATATGACTATAAAATCATTTTAACACCTTTTTTTACTAAAAATGTTGAATTTTGACCCTTAATTTTAAAGGAACTCCTCACGGTTGTAATTTTTTCCAAAATTAGACGGTATTATTTGCAGAATTTTAAACTATAAGGGGGCAATAGGCTACTTGGTCAAATTGCATATGGGTAATATATAAAACGCCTTAAGCATAACCGGGGAAATAACAAATGTATAAGAGAGAGCACCTGGATGGGGAGCTTTTTTTTTTTTCCTGACGTGAGTGAATTGAACAAGGAAACCTAAGTGCTTTGGATAGATTTTATATTAGACAACCCCAAGTCGTTGATAATTTCTGCGATGCTAACGTAAAATGTCGATTCACTTCTGGCGGACTCGCAAAATTATCAAAGTTGAAAGCTGGTTTGGAGGCCAAAGATGATGCATATGTTATTTTTTCCAATGATCTGCAATTGGAATTACCAAAGATCCGTTCTATATGGGGCAGCCCCATAAGAGTTTTCAGGCTTGTATAGGAATGTACGTGTAGCTTATGTAGACTGTCAAGACCTTTGACGCATTCTGGTAGGCCGCAAGTGGGATTTCTGCGCAGGTCTATCACCTTTAGCGAGGGTAGGCTACTGAAATCTTTCGAAAAATCTCTATCAAATAGATTGCAGCCTTGAAGACTCGATCTCCCAATGAATGAATGTTACTAATTATCACACCCTAATTGACTTGGGTGCAAATGGTCAGTCTTAGTGGCACCTTGCACCAAGGCATGCCAGAAATTGGAATCAAGGTGACGCGGCTAAGTGGTTCGACAGATTGGGGCGAACCAAGGCAGCATGAGACCACCGGTTGAGTATGGCAGCATGGGTGGGCTCAATTGAAGCAATGTGGGTGCAGAGCTTCGGATTGCATGGCATGGGTTGAACCCAGCATGCACATTGGTTCGTGTAGCAAGGTTGACTGGTGAATGTGGGCACATGACTGCTGAATGTGGGCACCTGATTGGCACATGGCTGCTCAATGCATGTGACCAGGAGGATGTGGGCAGTTATGATGCTGAGACTCAATCAAGGCAGTTGCTGAGGCAGTTCTGGATGTCCCCAGTCTGAATCCAGTCTAGATGCATGCTGATGAAGGGGCAGTTCCACAGCAGTTACTTGAAGTGGTGGAACTGCCTGCCAGGTGTTGCACAGAGACCAAGTCTACTAGTCCAGTATGCTATGGAATAGCAAAAACGTGGGTAACTACCCCTTGGCAGATGGGGGTGTCATCTGCCTTCCTCTTGTATAAATAGAGGTGCTTGAGCATTCTGGAAGGGGGAGAGTGTTCTGGCTTTTGAGAGTCCTTGTAAATTGTTGAGTTCAATATATAAGGTTTGGGAGTGTTGTCCCAGTAGATTCGTGTGTGCCTTCTGTGTGAGTTTCTGTCCCTTATTCTTGAGTTGAGTGTGGCTGGTTGTAATAGCAACGCCTTCACAGGTAGCCTCAAAAGAAAAACGAAAGTTACCCTGTGACAGTTTGGTATCAGAGCGTGGTTTTGGCAACAGATCAATTATGGCTGGCGGAACGAATGCTGATCTAAGGGAAAAGGTGGCACGGTTGGAGGAGCTGGTTGGTCCTCCACAGTCTGGTGATGCTGTAGCTCTCTCTGTGCAGATTGAGTTGCTATATCAGCGGTTCGAAGAGATGCGTGTTGCACAGGAACAACTTCAAAAGACTGAATCTGATCACTTCAGTCGAGTGAAAAACGAAGTCGTTGACGTGTTGGCTACGATCTCCACATGGACCGATGATATGGGGGAAAAATTGAGTTCCCTCGAGACCGACGTTTCAGTGCTTAAGAGGGCATTGCAGAATGCCCCTGTGGCTTCTGGCAGTGAAAGCACTCAGAAAGCTAAAGTGTCTGACCCTAAGCCTTTCACAGGCAGTCGAAATGCTAAAGAACTCGAGAATTTTCTGTGGGATATGGGACATTACTTCAAAGCAGTCCGTACTCCGGATGCTGAGAAGGTAGATCTCACTAGCATGTACCTGTCCGGTGATGCTAAATTATGGTGGCGAACACGTTCTGAGGACAAATCTCGTCTTCCAATTACTACTTGGGAGTCTCTGTCCGCTGAAATGAAGGAGCAATTTCTTCCCAGCAACACGGCTTGGCAAGCCCGTGATGCATTGAGGAAACTTCGACATACAAGCACCGTGAGAGAGTACGTGAAGCAATTCTCGTCTCTGATGCTTGACATTAAAAATATGTCAGAGGAAGACAAACTGTTCAACTTTATGTCTGGCCTCCAAACTTGGGCACAGGCAGAACTTCGTCGGCAAGGGGTGAAGGATTTACCCGCTGCTATGTCCGCAGCAGACGCGCTGGTTGATTACAAAACGCAGGCTAATCCTCTAGAGAAGGAGTCGAAAGGGAAAGCCAAGTTTGCTAAGAAGGATAAGCAGAAGAAAAAGGCTGAGAAGTTTGGCAATTCAGAAAAATAGACTGACAAAGCCTCTTCATCAAAGGGAGGTGTTGACTCAGGATGTTTTATCTGTAATGGCCCTCATCGTGCCAGAAATTGCCCCAAGAAGGAAAAGCTCAGTGCCCTCATGGCTGAGGAAACTGATTGTTCTGACGAACCAACACGAGTCAACCCATTACAACTTCTTAATGCAATTCGCAAAGAGGAGACAGTGGCAAAGAGGGGGTTGATGTTTGTGCAGATTCGCCTGAACAATGTGGCTGTCCAGGCAATGGTCGATACAGGTGCAACCCATAATTTTGTTTCTGATCGGGAAGTACAGCGGCTTGGTCTGGCTTTGGTGAAAGACTCTAGCCAGATTAAGGCTGTTAATTCAGAAGCAAAACCAGTAGGCGGCGTCGCAAGAGAAGTCCCTCTAAAAGTGGGTGATTGGCAAGGAACATGTGATTTTATGGCAGTCCCTCTCGATGATTTCCAGGTAATCCTTGGACTGCAATTCCTTACAAAGGCAATGGTGTCTGTTATGCCGCATTTAAATGGGATGTTCGTGATGGACATGCCCAATCCTTGTTTTGTTCCCCTCACCAAAGCCAAGTCTTCGGGGGAAATGTTGTCTGCCTTACAAGTAAAAGATGGCTTGCGAAAAGGGGAGGCAACATACTTGGCTGTTCTATTTGAGGAAGAGGAGTCCAAAGCATTTCAAGTCCCTGAATCAGTACAACAGTTGCTGGTTGAGTTCAAGGATGTGGCACCTAAAGAATTGCCAGCAAGGTTACCGCCAAGACGGGAGATTGACCATGCCATAGAGTTAATACCAGGGGCAAAAATCCCTGCACAGGCTCCTTATCGAATGTCTCCATCAGAATTGGCGGAGCTAAGGAGAC